TTTTGTGGGATACATTAATCTGGGTTGGAGGTTTTTTTTTATGGCTTAAAATACTTCACTCTGAGCTCCCCTGTGACTTAAGGCTTTGTGTTGAGAAGTTCTGATGGGCTTTCCTTTGATTTGTTTCTTTTCTCCAATAGCTTTTTTTTGTCTTTTTGAGACAAAGTTTCACTGTGTAGTTCAGGCTAAACTTGAACTCACTTTGTAGCCTCCCAAGTGCTGGAATTAGGCATCTGCCACCATGCCTGGCTCTCACAGCTTTCAATATTCTGTTCTTGTGTTGAATTTTTGGAATCTTGACTATTATATGCCTTGGTGTAGTTTTTTTTTTTTTTTAACCATGGCACAGTGGAGTTCTATATGCCTCACTTACTGTACGTCAAATTCTTTTTCCCTTATTTGAAGTTTTCTGCCATGATTTCTGTGAACAGGTTTTTTTTTTTTTTTTTTTTTAATGTCATTTGCGCTATCTCTGGCTTTTTCTCTGATCAATTTTTTGTTATTCTTCTTTGCATCATCTATCAGTTACTGGATTGATTTCTTGTGGCCCATTACTATTTTTAAGAAGGGTTTCTTCTGATGATCACTCACCACAATCCTGTCTTCTGTAGCTGAAATTTTGTCTCGCGTTGGCTTACTCTGCTGAGTGTGCTGTCCATGGAACTTTGGTGTTATGGATATCTGTCAGAATCTGCTTCATGGATTCCATTTCTTTTCTAAGTTGGGAATTCATGATTTCCATCATTTGCCTAAACTCCTCTGTTTTTAAAATATATATCTGCCCAAGAGTAACTAAGCATTTTTTTCACTGTGTTCTTCATCTCTGTCTTATCTGAGAATGGTCTGACTTGATTTTTTTCTAGAGCCACATTCACCTGTTTTGTTACTTCCACTGTTACCACTTGAGAGAGGCCAGGTGGATGGCTTTTGGATTGTTCTACCTCATCGCTCCCATAGTTTGTCTTTGGTGAGCTCAGAATCTGAGGTTGCATCTTGTTTAAATGTCATCTCTCTCTCTTTTTTTTTTTTTTTAGTTTATTTCTTGGGTTGATGTTTGAAATTGCCTATGGCAAGTAGTTTTATTGCTACTATTTAGAACGCTTAGGAAGTGACTACTTCTCAGAGGTATCTTTTAAGTGCAGCCGGCTTTTGGGTATTGAATCAGTTGTAAGATCTTACCTCTTCAATTTATTGGGGATAAGATGTTGCTACCTACTTGGCCCAGTCCCTGACTCTTTGGCACTGGCCTAAAGAATTTTATATGACCCTTAGGCAATCCAAGTTTTGGTATATCATGAAGAACAACTGATTAGAACAATTTTGTCACCTTGACTAAAGTAATACAATCAGCAACAGCAGTAACATCAAACACAGCCTAGAAAAGGACAAATTGAAGTAACTATTAATTTGCCATCTTTAACTGTATGAACTAGATTTGTGATTATATAAAAATCTAAAATGAACCAGAAAATTGTATGCAGTAAATAAGCCCTCAGTGTAGTGATTTTACCCTCCGGGGATAAAATTTAGAAGAGGTTGGATGGAAAAATAGAGAAATAGAAGAGGAAGAAGAAATCAAAAGCAAGGCTGGAGGACAAAGGAAGATCATCCAAATTTTGGGAAACTGATAAAGAAGACAGGAAGGAAAGAGAGAAGGAAGAAATTTAAGCAAGGACAGAACAGAACAACAACATTTAAAACCTAGGAACCATATTTTCACTCATAGAAAAACAAGAACAAACATTCAGGAAGAAAGAAAGTGAAACAAAAAAACAAGAGAATGCCATTCAGCTCTATTTTCATTGCACTATTATCTGATAATATGCATGGTACATATTTGGTGTTTTTCGCATTTACTTAAGCATGCTTTACTATTATGTGGCTATTTTGGAGAAAAGTCTACATTTTGCTTAGAAGAATGTGTATTCTGTTACTGTTGAGTGGGACAATCTGTAGATGCCTATGACGTCTATTTGTTCAAAGATTTCTTTCAGCTCGGTATTTCTTTGTTGATTTTTTTGTCTAGTTGATCTATTTGTGATATTGGAGTATTAAGGTTGCCCCACTGTAATCGTATTGATATTGTATGATCTTTTATGCCTAGCACAGTGCGTTTTATAAAGTTGGGTGTCTTTTATGAAGTTGTTATATATGTATATATATATATATGCACATATTTATAATTGTCATGTCCTTGCATTGAATTGTTCCCTTAAGCAAAATGTAGTGACCTTCTTTGCCTCTCCTGATCAGTTTTGGTTTAAATTTTGCAATGTCTAAAAATAGGATAGCTTCTCTTGGTTGTGTTCAGGTTTCTGTTGCATGGGCTCATGCAGAAAATCTCTTATCTCTTACTATACTAGAAAAAATAGTCTCCACATTTACCACTTGCTTCTAATAGATCCATTTTATTTGATAAAATAATAGCACAGATTAACGGAATAGTCAATAGAGTTTTTTTAAAGTGAAGGAACCCTGGAAAACAATTTTATTAGACATTTAATAATCTAAACATTATAAACTTTATTTTTTGTCCATGTTTTCTCATTTTGAAAACAGATATACTCCAGATGGGCAATATTCTCTGAAACAGCAATCGCTTCTACCCCTTTTCATGTATGAATCAGGAACACACCCATTGTGTAAACAGTGGTTACAGGGGCACTGAGAGAGGGAGAGAGGGAGGAAGAGAGGGGAGGGGGAGGGAAAAGGAATTAAGATGCGTTATGCACACACGTATCAATCTCCCATGAAGAATGCAATCACATACAGCAAACATGTACTAATAAAATAATAATTAAAAAATAACAATTGGATATTTCAAGTACATCACTATTAGGTCCAAGTTTATTGCTAATTCTTGTTTGTCTTGCATTTGTAGCATCAGAACACAAGACTTGAAGAATTTTTTATAACCTTTGAGAGCTCATACTTTTAAACATTTGCTTTTAAAGTTTATAAATGATTGATCCAAATAAACTTTAATTTCTAAATCACGTTTATTTCCAGTCATCTTCGCAACACAACTGACATTCACATTTGCCCACTTAAGATTCACATCAAGAATGGGAATTTAGCTCAGCGGTGCAGTGCCTGCCTGGCAAGCACAAGGTCATGAGTTAGATTCCGGATACCGGGAAAAAGGCAAAAAAAAAAAAAAAAAAAAAAAAAAAAAAATCACCTCAAATACATTTATGCATAAAATATCATAGAGGATGACAGACATTTGTAATTCATGCTCGTAAGCAGAATAAGTTCTTCTAGATTCTTATAAAATCTTGTGTCATAAAGTTCTTCCTGTTGAATAATTAGGTGAAAAAAATACCGTATTTACTATTTCACCTTGAAGAATGCATTGTTCGCAATTAATTTTTTGAGTTTTGGAAATTCATCTACAATACAATCACCTAAAGACTCATGGATTTCATGCTTCTCACTGAGGTCAAGAATGCTGCTCTCTGTTCAACATCATTAGTCATTCGAGGAATGCAAATTAAAACATTGAGATTTCATCTCACCTCAGTAAGAATGGCTAGCATTAAGAAATCAACCAATAACAAATGCTAGCGAGGCTGTGGAGAAATAGGAACTCTTCACCACTGCTGGTGGGAATGCAGACTGGTGAAGCCACTCTGGAAATCAGTTTGGAGA